ATTACTACTCCACAGAGGAGGAAATAAAGAACATACTTGGAGCATAAGACTTCCTTTAGAGTGCCTCCTATTATGACCATCCCTATTACTAAAGTCAACAGTCCAATCCAGAATGACAAATGGTCCAGAACCTTCATGAATGAAGATAGGGGGTCACCTCATCAGGGAAAAAATAAAGACCTTCTGAGGTGCTTTTTGAAAGCCAAGGGAATACAGAATGTGTGGTAAAAGAAGGTAGTTCTAAACACCAGCCATGACCCTGTGATCATCTACAGAAACAGGGAGTGTAACAGTTCTTTTCTAAAATGCTTCCTATGTAATATAAAGTTGATAGGCTTAATATTGATTCCCAAGTACTGTTAAACCTATATTACAATGTTCAAGTTATGAAATATTAGACATAAACATCACCCAAAGAAAACTCGCCTTCTACTCTGGGGAGGAATTAGTGCATTTCTGTCTGTATGTAGGATAGTTAGAACATGTTAGGTATAATTATGAACTTGTTACTCTCTCTCTCTCTCTTGTTTTTTTTGTTATTTCAGACAGGGTCTTCCTATGCAGTCCAGGCTGGCCTTGAACTCGCAGTGATCCTCCTCGTTCAGCTTCCCAAGTGCTAGGATTATAAATGTGTGCCACCACACCTGGCTGTGAACTTGCCTTGTGTCTGGACACTGGTTTAAAGAAAGGTGTCTGGCTGTCAAGGTGACAAGGGGTGCACTGTGATAATTAACCAGTTGATTGCGTCAACCTGAGTAACAAACACCCAACTGAATTCGATCAGTATAGGGCTTGTCGCCAGAATGGTATAAAAGGGAAGTGAAGAAGGAAAGTTGTTTCTGTTTCTTTGAAGGAGCTCCAGTCTTCACCTTCACTCTGGATGTCATCTGGCTTCCAGCACAAACCCTTCAGCCTCTTGATAGAATCACACGGGACACTGCAGTGAGCTCCAGGGTTCTGACTGCATCCTCCAGCAGGCAGACAGACGTTTCGCACACTTCCCCATCTGACTGTGGGCATCCCCTGTAAGCCAATCTTATAAATTCTTACATATTTATGTCTTTTGCATTAAATCTGTTTCTCTAATAAGCAGTGACTATTCATTCTGTATATTTAAGTTATCACTGGGTTCTCCCAAAATTGTTTTTCAAACTTGTGAAAACAAACGACCAATTTCTAGTGTCTAGCATAAGTGATGAAAGCTACCAGCTTATGGGAAAATGGCCTCTTTCAGAACTGAGGCAAATGGTGTAAAAGATACCCATAATGCCCTCCACTAAAAAACTTAAAGGAAAGTACCAAGAACTAATGTATTAAAGTGTACTAATATTGAGTTAAAAAAGACGCATGCAATGTTTCCTCTCCCATCAGTTCACAGAATATTCAGTATTTTAATACCAGTGAATAAGAACACAAGTCAAAAAAACATTCTAAAACAAGAGATGCTTAATTGTGTTAAAAGGCAAAGAACTTTTAAAAATGGAAATGGAAACACTTTCTTAAAAATGAAAACTGTATTTATAGAAAAGCTACCCACACCAAAGAATACTGAAATATATAGTACTGCCTATGATATGGTGGCCCTCGAAAATTTTTAGAAAATGATCCTTAATGAGAGCTACCACCACAGCACAGGCTGGAAACACGCGTCCTCACAAACCTGGCAGCTTTTGGAAGCAACAAGCTACATCTTGCTAGCTCACGTTACCTCATCTCATCCCTATAAAAGGAACATCAGATGTGTATCCACCAGACAATAACTATTTTCCTCCCTGGAGCAGACAAGCTGAAGACCACTGATCCTCGTATGAATTGCTGACTTTTGCCTCTTCCTCCCACCTGTCCCCTCCCAATATAATCTCAGAAATTACCAAAATAAGAAATGCAAGAAAATGTTGGGTCAATAAAAGTGAAGGGAAAACTGCACACTTGGATATAATGAACATGTATCATCCATAATTAACTGCAGGCTAAGCAGCTGTTAAAGAAAAGCATTCTAATTACATAATTCATGTTGAAGGAATTGTTCTGCCTATTTCTTCAGTAATATCTCTTCAAGTAAAGGCTGCTATACTTAAATGAATGTATATATTACCTCCTATGAAATCAAAGGCGGGGAGCTAACTATGGGTGGAATTTTACTACCTAATGATTTGGAATCAACTTTAAGAGGAAACCATTCAACCACTCTGTTCACACACCTGGTCCAAAAAGGTGATCAAGGGAAAGCAGTTAAATAATACAGACAATGGCCACTACGTCTATACTTTTGACCATCTTACATACTACCAATCTCATTCCATTTTCACACCAAGCCTGACTGGCAGGGCCTGCATTTTTAAAAAATAAAATTTAGAGAAGAACAATGAATGATTTCAATGAATGACAGGTAGCCAAGAAGCCTAATGATAGGCTAGCTGTGAGGGTTTATATAAGGCTAAACCTTGAAGGTTTATGCTAACGTAGCTTAATTTCATCTACATCTTGAGATAGTAGCTGAGGTAGTATTTGTGCTGAGTTAGGAAAAGAGTACTTTTCAGACTGAGAAGGAGGTGGGTCACCTGGTATTTCACTACCTGTAATTTCAAACAGAAGGCACAAGAGAAGGCCAACTGTGACGACATCTGAGCCTTTCCCTCGGGCCACTCTGTGGGGCTGGAACCTAATCACCAAATGGCAAAAAGAGGCAGAAAAGAAGACATGGAGGGAAAAAGAAGGCAGAGAAACAGTGCTGCAGTCAGGATTCGCAAGGGGAACAACACAGGACACACAATTTATAGAATTACTTGATAAAAGTCACCCAAAGAGTCATACACAAAAAGAGCACACAAAATCTGTCCACGCACTAAAGACCAAAGAATCCAGCTGAGGGCCTGGATTCCATGGTAATGTCCTGCATGAGTTCAGCTGAAGACCTAGAGCCCATAACAAAGCCTCCCAAGAGCCCAACTGGAGGTCCAGAGCCCATGACAACATCTCATGCAGGCCCGTTACATGGATCTGTGCTGGGAAGCCCCGGAGGTCAGTGGTGGAAGCTAGAAAGTCTGTGCCAGTGGGATGAAGGATCTGTGCTAGCAGGCTGAGGGATCTGCACTGGCGCCAGGAAGTGACGCTCAAAGTAAGGACCAGGACTCCCCCAAAAAGTACCACAGCCATCCTCAGTGACAGTGAGGTTGCGAGCTCCTCCAATGGTAAGGAAAGCCAGATTACCAAGGAAACCAATGTGACAAGCTTTTCCAAGTGAGTGAGCAGTGCACCGTCTTCCCCTCCGGGGCCAGGAAGCGATGCTCAAAGTGAGGAGCAGAGCTCCCCCAAAGTGAACCGAAGGCGTTCTCAGTGACAACAAGGTCCCAAACTCCAATGACGAGAACAGCTGAGTTCATCAGGAAAGCCAGCGCGACGAGGTCCTTTAGCAGAAGAGCCTGAGAGAACCAGCAGCTCCCTAACAGCTTCCAAACAGTTTCTAAACTTCTTCCTCTCCAATTCGGCCTCTTACGCGGCTGGCTTCAATCCTCAAGTGGGTTCCCACACCCAACACCAAGGTTCAGTTCAGCTGGCTGTTACAAGTTGACCACCAGCTGTCACTCCACCCCAAATGGGCAGTAAGGAATCTCTGCTAATAAAGGAAAACCTCACTGTGTTCACCATTTTGATGACGATCAGTCCAACTGACTTCTTGTCCATAATGCATAATCAAGTAGAAGGTGCCCACAGCGCTATTCTCTCTATGTAGTGACTTACAGCCTACAAGAAATAATGCAGTAATACTGAAAGGTTCTAATGCTCAAGACAAAGTTGTATTCACTTGTCTGCTTTACCTACTGTATTGGCTTCCTTATGAAAGGAGCCTTATCCAAAGTAAACAGAAAAAACGACAACAGCAACAATAGGTGACGTCAAAGTATAGCAGGGGACCACACATTTATTCATCATTCCAAATAGTCAGATGAGGCATTCTCTCTGTGTACACTGTACTGTACTATTTCACTTTATTAAAAAGCTGTTCAGGCAAAAGGGGCAAAGTCTAGTTAAACCACAAGAATTATGCTAAAATTTTTTATCCCTTTTTTTTTTGGTACCAGGAATTGAACTCAGGACCTTGGGCTTGCTGGGCAGGCACCTATGCCACTGAACTATAAGCCCAACTAAAATTTTTTATCCTAAATGGAAAGTATTTCCAAACAAAGCTAAACCAAACTCAGGAGGTGCTGGGGCAGATCTGAATCACCTAAGGTCATTTTTTTAAAATCACCCTTACTCTCTATAGGCTCTGATTACTGGCCACGTGTGCACCAGAAGGAACCACTGCACTGATCGTGACATGTTAGTTCTCTCAAGTCTGCAGGGTGAGGAAAGGTATCTTGCAGAAGGTAGCTAATCCACCGCTCACCTGTGCTATTCACGCACAGGATAGACCTGAAAGTATCACTATCAATAACACAATCTAAAAGAAACCAAATGAAAAGTCAAGACCATAGTGAGACCATAATGTTCACTTGGGGTTTTAACAATAGCAGCAGTACCTGCCAATCAGCCAAGTTATGAGGACGATGACTGGTTTTTGGTTTTGTTTTTAGTTTTGGTTTGGTACTGAGGCTTGAACTCAGGGTCTCACACAAACCAAGTGCTCTACCTCTGAGCTACATCTCTGGCCCTTTTGTTTTTTAGATGGGGTCTCACTAAATTGCTCAGGCTGGCCTTGAACACGGTTGTGACCTTCCTGCCTCAGCCTCCTGAATAGCTGGATTACAGATGGGTGCCGCCATACTTGGTGATGATGATGACTTTTAATTACTGCTATGGCTAGTAATAAAAAGATAAAATTGTAAGATTATTTCTGTTAGCTTTTAGAAAAGTCACTAAAAAAGGGACAATATGATGTTCCCTCTGCCAACAGCTGGCTCAGAAACTAAGTTAAGAAAGCAACCCACCAGTGGCTGTACCATCACTGCACAATCTAGAGGCTATATGAACTCAAGTAAGTCAAATTCTTCACTTACCATTTGTTAGTCTATCAAATAGAAAGATATCAAAATTCCAATTTCCAACTTTTTCCAGCATACACTGAAATGAAAACCAAACATTCCTACTGTAATTTATTTTCAGTAACATTCTCTGTTTTTTTTTTAAAGATAGTCCATAGAGAAGTTAATGAAAATGGAAAGTGACTAATTTACTTTAAGAAATAGCAATTATCATTCTCCTTTTAATCATGACTTTTCCAATGAGCTACAAAAATGTCCAAAGAAGTAAACTCCATTTGAACAATGAAATTATTATTTTGTCTTTCAGTTAATGAATGCACAGGTCAGGCTAGTCTTTCAACTTATTCCTTCAGCTTCAATAATTTTCAAGAATTCTGAAATAATTCAGCATCACAGAAGTGTGACTTGTATGTTGTATGGTCTAAAACTAGACTTTAAAGAGCTAACAAATATGAGTTAGAAGAGCTATGTACTGAACACAAGTACCAGCATAAGTACTGTGTACTCACAACAACACTCTCCAAGCAGGCATTGTTTTGAAGTCTCATTTTATAGATAGGGAAACATAAAAGGTAACTTACTTGCATGGTCAGAAAACGAGAGAGCTAGAATCTAAAAATCAGGAATCTGATTTTGGAATTCAGGCCCCTGACACTGACACTATACCATGCTTTAATTATTTGTTATTAAGTTTTTAAAGAATATTCCAAATGAGATATTTTTAAATAAACTTTAAATATCATTATAAAGTTAATAATAGAATTTATTACATTACCTTTTAGGATGATATATACTTTACCAAAAGAAAATAAATTCCACAAAAATCCTAAAAACCAAATATTTTTATACCACATATTTTTTATTCCTTTTGTTTTTTTCCAAACAGGACCTCACTACGCAGTTCAGGCCTGCCTTGAACTCACTATGTAGCCCAGGCAGTCCTTGAAATCACAGCAATCCTCCTGCCTCAGCCTCTTGAGTGCTGAGCTTATAGGTTATAGGCGTACACCACCACACCCGGCTTTGCATTATATAGCCTCTCTATTTTTTGAGACAAGGTCTCACTATACAGTTCAGGCCAGCCTTGAGCTCACTTTGTAGCCCAGGCTGGTCTTGAACTTGCAATAATCCTCCTGCCTCAGCCTCCTGAGTGCTGGGATTACAGCTGTGTGCCACCACGTCTGGTTTGCATTATATATTCTTAACCTAAACATTTTATGCACTTTGTCTTTTTTTTTTGAAAGGCTCTTGCTATGCAGTTCAGGCTGGCCTTGAGCTCACTTTGTAGCCCAGGCTGGTCTCGAACTTGTGACTATCCTCCAGCTTCAGCCTCCTGAGTGCTACGATTACAGGCATGCGCCACTACACTCGGCTATGTACTTTCTCAAGAAAAACACTTATTTTCGATCTACACTAATGGATAATCTGACATGCAATGCTAACATACTACTAGAGACTGTTGATTATGAAAGTACAAAAAACAACGATACATATATCAATATTCTCAGTTTAAAAAGCAGAGCTTGAATCTTTTCAAAAGTTTGAAGAAAGTACAAATATTTTTCAGTGGTATCATTTATCAAACAGGAAAGCAAAATTTTTCAGTACAATGTAACTGCTAAAAATGTACCTTAACCTGTTCTACACAAATTTACAAAAATTGGCCAGTAAATGTTAAGTCAAACTCAAGATTATTTAAAATCCTCATTTGGGCAAAAACAGGCTCATTTAACATCAACTTAATTGAGACATTTCATTGAAAGTATTTGAAGATGAACTAGGCTTACTTAAAACATATCTAAATCCTCAAAATCTCCTTGACGTAAGAGTCTACACAAAATGCATTTGACTGAAAATCATGAAAGTCTACTTTGTGTGCTGCTGCGTTTACCTTTAACCAGTGGGATGTGCTTAAGTTCCTTGTGCCCTCCAGGTCTCAGCTATCTCAGACAGACTGGAGAGATACTAGCCTGGATAATCTCTACTGTTCTTCCCAGCATTTAAGATTCGGGGTGACCTTTGTAAACCATATTTAATGTTTTACAGATCTATTTGTTACTGAATGTTGTAACAAATGAAAACATTTTCACTACCTCAGTCATTTCTCAAATCTCCTTGGTTCTGCCATACCTAAATGTAAAACGAACAGCTACTCTAAAGAAAAAAATCTGAAAAGCTGGCCCAAATTATTTTTCACAGACAGAAAAAGAATGTCCAAGTTAGTACAATATGGAAAAGAAAGGCCTTTAGAAAACTTGTTAAACAACATTTTCTTGAAAAAGCCGTACAGACCTTGGCTTGTCCATTGTAATCGTCATCTAAAATGTTAAGAGAGCTGGAAACCGTAGTACCACGGAAAAAGCGTGAGGATCTGAGATAGCGCTGGAAACTTAGTAACCTTCTAATGTTCCTTGCAGAGACAGACACTTCGATCTCAGACTGAGCTGAAATAAAAGAAGGCAGAGGTAAAAACAACTCAAAAAGAGCACATGCTACACCTGCTACTCAGCCTCTAGTTATGTACAAGGATTTCTGAAAGTCTACTCAAAACTTTACATTTTCATATCTAAGGTACAGACCTACTTTGTATCTACTGCAATTTAGCAGAAGTATTAAACAAAGACGGTAGTAAGTTACAATTATTACTTTCTTTAGTACACGTTTGTAGTACATAATATTTACATTCGTTATAGGGAGTAGATGAATGTACTTAACATATCTAATTCTTTTTACCCCTCAATCTCCAGATTTCCTTGCCATTTGCAAAAGATTTATATCCTTGTTTCCTATTATCTTTTAGTTTCAAATAATTATTTATACTTTGGGTTACTTATTTCACTTAGTATTATGATCTCAAGGTGCATCCGTTTTCCTACAAATGAGTCAGATTTGTTCTCTGCGGCACAGTAGTGCCCCATTCTTTATAAATATCATATACCCTCTATCCATTCATCTGTTAATACATAACAGGCCACTTCCAAGATTTAGCTAATATGCACTGTGCTGTTAGAAACACGGGTACGAAATGTATCACTTTGGTAAGATGTCTTTAATTCTTTTGGGAAGATACCTAGGAGAGGAATAAGTGAGTTGAGTGGAATTCTATTTTTAGTTTTTGGAGGAATCTCCATATTGATTTCCAAGTATTTTTAAACATTCATTAATCACCACAGCATATTTCTAGTGGAGAAGAGGTTTCTATTTCTATTTTTGATTGGAGAAATAAGAATGGAAGGGTAAATGAAATGGTAGCTGATCAGACATACTCTCTCTTCTGTCTAGTTACTCATTTCAACTGCTATGAGTCTGTTTTTTTTTACCTGTAAAATAATTGAGAATATCTAATAAAAAGGGTACTGAATTGAATTAGCTTATATATACGTGAGTTAGATATATAACATGTATTAAATAAATGGTAGTGGTGTAGATTATAATAAAATTGATACTGACTAAAACATGCATCTCCAAATTTATGGAGAACAAATTCTGCACTTCCCATCTTGCTTCTGCCAGATACTCCAGTTATTTGGGCTGCTATCCTCATAGGTCATGGGGCTTAGTAACCGATATCACTAACTGCTTTTCACCCAGGTGTTCTGGCAAAAACCTAGCAGATTTATCCATTATTGAGCACTTCCCTGGTGAGTATAAGTCCCTCAGGATCCAGAGTCCTGGAACAGTTTATTCTAGTCTCATCCCCCCTCCCAATTTAGAGGTTGTTTCAGTGGGAAGACCAAGCCCTAGAACTTCTCACCCTGTCATTTTGAGTGACTTTCACATCTTTCCTTTAAGCAGTATGTTTTTCTTGGTCATTTCTTGGATTAGCCACCCCAAGCCCTCTCTTCTGCTTAGCCCTGGTTTGAGAATGGAACAAGTTGTATGGGAAGATATAATTGTCCAGAAAGAGTAACTGTTAATATTCTGGAACTCTAGGAAGTTTTTTTATTATTCTTTTCTACATACATATGTGCACATACAGTTTTTCTTCCATCTAAGAAAGTTCACAATATATTTTCTTTCTTTTTTTTCTTTTTCCCGGTACTGGGAATTGAACTCACGACCTTTCGCTTGCCAGGCAGGCGCTGTGCTGCTGAGCTAAATCCCCAGCCTCCACAGTATATTTTCTAAATTTAAAATTCACGGGTATCTTTTCACATTGATAAACATGTGACATGTTTTACTAGTCATATATTATTCTAAAGTATGAAATTAATGTTTCCCTACTATTTATTGTTAAACTGTTTCTTTCATTTCTTTACAAATAATTCTGCAATTAGCAACCTTGAACTAAATCCTTGCACACAGGGTAACTGACTGCCTGGGACTAAATCCTCAGAAGTACAAGGAACACACTTCAATGACGTCTAAAACATGCCAAACTGGAGAAAAAATTTTCTAAAAGAAAATTAGAGAAGCTTCCAGAAGTGTCCTAGAACAGTTTACAAAATATGATTAAGGAAGATAAGGAGCTATAAATCAAGAATGAAATGAGATAATTTCAAGATTGTTAGAAATATTTTGTTTTTTCAAGTTTGCTCATCTCCCCTCTCCTTACCACACATGCACACACTATCTCATTACAGGGATTAGAAGCAAAATTCTTCTGCTGGAAAAGCTTATAGACATATCTTTTGGGGTAATAAGACAGGGTAAGAGTTGGGAAGTTTTCTTTTCTTTTTTTTTTTTTTTTTTTTTAATTGAGACAGGGTCTCACTATATAGTTCAGGCTGGCCTTGAGCTCACTTTGTAGCCCTGGCTGGTCTCAAACTTGCAAAGATCCTCCTGCCTCAGCCTCCCAAGAGCTGGGATTATAGGTGTGTGCCACCACGCCCAGCAAGAGTTGGGAAGATTGCACCCAACTTTTCTTTTCTTGGCTATCCGAGAGATAAAACCCAGGCCCTCATGCATGCTAGGCAAGTGCTCTGGTGCTGAGCAACATCCCCAGCTACTTGATTAGAGGGGAAACGAGCACACCAAGGTCAAGGAAACAGGGAAAGGACACCAAGCTAAATAACTGGTATCATTTAAGGATATAGCAAAGAGGGTACATGAGGAAGCGGGACCAGGAGACAGTGACTATGAGAACTTAACACCCTCTCATTTGGATAATTACTAAAAGGCTCATGCTCCATCCAAGTTACACAAACATCTGACCCTACTGCTGATATTCTCATGAGCTCATTATTAGACATGAGGCAAGCCATTATTTATTCCACAGCGTAATACACAACAGATTAAACTTTATTAAAGCTCGGCTTCCATCAAGCTTGGACTATTTATTTTAAGTCCCAGGCTTGTTCTAGTTTACATGGTTACCTACATTCCAATCCAGATTAGAAAGCCAACAGGCTCAGTGAATTAATCAAGTTACTATTAAAGAGCGTTTGGCTCTGCCAGCTCTCCTCTAAAATACCGCATTACCTCACTATGTGACCATGAGGGAACTAATCAGTCTTCACCAAAACTAAATGAACACTGTGACTTAGTGACTGCGGGCATTATGTCCAGTCATCAGTTCTTAGCTTCTCTAAGCCAGCAAGTGAAATGTAAGACAGCAGGCAATTTAATTTCTCTTGTTTTTCGCTCTTCATCTTAGCAAGTACATAGGAAATGTAATACTTCCGTGAAAGAGGGAAAATGGGCTGCAGAATCAATACATCTTAAGCAGTATTACTGCTACCTATCATCCAAACTGCATGTCAAAAGTTGTGACAGGTATTCAGTAATATTCAGATATTTAGTAATGAAACAAAAGACGTCTTCAACAGAAAAGCCTTTGGATCTTGAACCCTGACCACTATTTGCTTTACTAGGCCACAAGAGGGAGCACTGTAGTCAGGATATCTGCCGAAAGAAAGCCATGAAAACCAGGGAGGTGGTGATTTACTGTTGAAAGGTATTACTTTAGTCTAACTCCCCCTTTTGTCTCCTAACTCCTCTCAGAAAGAATAAGAATCATATCTAAGCGCCTACTGTTAATACGGAGGAATCACAATTATTCTAGAAAAGCTTTACACTAAGCAGGCAGGGACAGAGAAACTGCGCTAAGTGCTTAGAGCAACGGTCTTCAACAGAGATGCCCCCAGCAGAAAGGAGCTGACAGGGAGGGAGGACGGGGGAGGGGATAAACATGGGCTTCCCAGGTGAACACATGTGAGTCTGAATCTCAGCTCTGTCACTAATTTCATGACGTTAAGCAAGTTATTTAAAGTTTCTGATCTTTAGTTTCTTGATCTGTAAAACAGACCTCACAGGACAGTTGTACAGATTAAATGAAATAATACAGGCGATATTTCTGCCATTTTTTGCCAAAATACTTAAATTAATGAATATAATCACTTTATTATTAAATATAGCAAATATTTTAAACATATGACTTCATACTATTAACAAACCACATTTATTTCTCATGACTGCATAGCTTCATTCTAAAAATCACTGTAGAGAAGAACTGCAGAAATAATTGCATACATTTTAAAGATTTCAAAATTTGCAGTTTCATTAACTTAAAATGAATACATAGTACAGATTTCATTATAAATAAAAAAGCTACTCATAATCTAAAATTAGATCAAAATTAATGAGAATAAAATGTGTAACCAATATTTTTCCTATAAGCAATTCTTGTAACCTTAGTTCACAAAACTCAATGTCCACTTTGATAATATTTAATAAGAAGTTAAAAATTCTCCCCAAACTACTCTCATTGTTGAAAATTAGGCATTTTCATACCTGGGATACTTGGTATATGAATCCCTCTTATGTCTATACTGAGGGCTTGAACTTAGCTCCTTATTCATTAAATTCTTAATTCCCTTACTAATGAGCAGAGAAGGAAGGAAGGAAGGAAGGGAGGGAGGGAGGGAGGGAGGGAGAGGGACAGAGGGAGGCAGGCAGATATGCAGGTGGGCAAGAAATCATGCATAGACAGCTCTGTTGTGAGCATGTTAAATGGTATTAAGAAAAAGGTCTAATACATACCCTAATTTATGCTACAAAGTTAGAGGCCCCTAATTTATGCTACAAAGTGAGAGAAGTTATCTAGAAGACAGAACATCTGTTGTTACAATTTTGGGACAAGAGAAAACAAAAATCGGTGATTTTCAAACGTAGGTATTTCAGAACCACCTGGAAACGAAATACATTTTAAACACAGACATGTGGGGTCAGAATGCTGATTCCTGATGCAATTCAATACAGCAGTGTCACTCTCAACCAGCACCACTCGGTAACGGGATTGCCAGGAATGCAACACTGGTCATAGAAAAGACAGGAAAAGGCAACATGGGTCACAGAAATTAAGAGTTTCCAGTGATATCGCCATGAACTCAATTAAGGAAATATTGTTTTTTGAAACAACCAGATATGATTTCAAGACAAATAAATGATTGGGAATAAACTAATAGAAATTCCAAACAAATATTATCACAGTCCATAATACCAC